TTTCAGGCTTCCCGCGAATGTTTGATTTGCAGGAAGCGAGGGGAGGGGGAGGAGCAGGGGGGCAGAGCGTTCAGGGGAGGGGAGGAGGGGGAAGTGAGGTGGGGGCGGGGTGGACAGCTGCTGCAGGGCCCTCTTGGCGCGGGGCTAAAGCCAGCCCTGCCCCCTCGCTGCTGCGGCTGCGGGCCACATGCTGTGCCCCAGCCCCCCTCCTCCTGCCGCGCTCCGCCCCCCGCTCCTCCGGCCGTGCCCACCGCCCCCTCATGGCGGCTGGCCACGCTGCGGGCCGCCAGCCTGTGCTCCCCCTAGCTTCTCTGCCACGGCTGCTGGCCGCATGCTGCGCCCCCCGCTCCTCCGGCCGCTTTTGGAAAGGCTGGGGAAGCGGCTGCTTCCCCTGCACCCCGCTAGCTACACTACTGTTGTAGTTATGGGATGGCACTAAATGAAATGCTACACTGTGTTGTCCGGATGATACCACATGTATTATAACTACTGGATCTGTTAGATTGGAAAAAGGGACAAGAGTGGCATTATATTTAGTTAGATTAATAATTTGGAACGAGCCCACTGCTACAAAAAGTATCTTAATGCAGTACACAACACAATGTCCCTTACCCTTCTCTCTTGTAAAACAATGCAAATCAGGAATCATTCCCTTGAAATCAGTGCATTACTTAGTAAACTTCTAGATCATCATTGTCATTATGCCCCATTTGGAATTCTCTTCCAGAAAAGCTTGATGTTGTTGTATGGTATATGGATCTCTACAGAACATTTTCTATCCCATTTCCCATTAATCATGCATGAGTATTTAAAGTAAGAATAATTTTGTTTGCAATAGTCAAACATGAGATAAATCTAATTCTCACTAAGGGTACGTCCACACTACCCGCCAGATCGGTGGGTAGCAATCGATCCCCGAACACGCTCCCCATCAACTCCGGAACTCCACCAGAGGGAGAGGCGGAAGTGGAGTCGACGGGGGGGCCGCGACCGTCGATCCCGCGCTGTGAGGACGGGAGGTATGTCAGTTTAAGATACGTCGACTTCAGCTACGCTATTCTCGTAGCTGAAGTTGCATATCTTAGATCGATCCTCCCCCACCCACACACCCCCAGTGTAGACCAGCCCTAAGGCCCCATTGAAAATAACTCTGGGTACTTGTTATAACCCATAACAGGCAATGCAATCAAAATTATTTCCTTCTCATGTTCTGAATAGAGGGGGAGATCCATGCATGAATGCCCCCTCCACAAGTGCATTTGTTTGGGGGGGATGAGAGGTATGATCTGGCCAGATATTATTTCATGTAACTTTAAATGCTACAAATGAAGTGCTAAAAAGAGAGAAATTGCAGAAGGTGGAGAATGGCATGGCATACCACATGAGATAAAATTATCCAGTTTCCAAATGTGGAGTTAAAGTTCAAATGATATAAATCGCAGAGATGACTTGCATGATCAGAAATTATTTCTGATCTGGTGTTTGCAGTACTGGAATTAACGAAGACCTTTGATTACTCAAAAATGCTGGATATATAGGAATGTCCTCCACAACATACCCTTAGTCTTGCAAAAGGTACATCTAGTTCCAGTTCTTTGAGTTTCCTCTCAATGTCCTTGTCTAGTTCTCTTTTCTTTAGCAGTCAATCAGAATAAAAATCAATTTTGTGATCCCATGAAATGTTTGTCATTTGTCTCACCAGTCGATAGATGTTGTTCTGAAAATGTATGATACAACAGGTGCCCAGTATTGTCCCTGTTATATGTAACACTGACAGATCCTGGTTGTTGGTGGCTGGGCCTTTCCAAGCTTAATGCAGGAGCCTCGACTGCCTGAGCTGAAAGGCACGTCTCGTTTAGCAAAGGCTGTAGCAGACTCATCAATCTCTAGCTGCTCTAGCTGCCGCTAGAGAGGGACAGAATGCCACACCAAGCAGGCATGAGTTATATATAGCGCCATCATTTTTATTCACACTTGCAGAATCCAGATAAGACCATGTCTGAAAAACCATGTGTATTCCTACCTAATTATTGATACATTCCTCAGAATTATTCACTTCCACATCATCATGTCCTCTCACTAGAGTGACCGGATGTCCCCATTTTATAGGGACAGTCCCAATATTTGGGGCTTTATCTTATAAAAGGCACCTATTGCCCTCTACCCCCCCCGTCCCAATTTTTCACACTTGCTTCTGGTCACCCACCTCTCACCAAAATAATATGGTTAATATGCAGTCTATTTTCAACTTGGTCAATCTGAATTTCTTTAACGACCTCACAGCAGACTTTATTATATTCCTCTTAAGTGCTGTCTGATGCCGCAGCACCTTCCCTTCTACTTCAGCTAGCCTTAATCTACTAATGCAGTCATTTATTGGACAAAGATTTATAATTTCAGAGGAATCTATTTCTGCCATCCAACATTGTTTGATGGTTATGGATCATGCTGGGAGGTTTACATACCATGCATGTTCCAAAATTGTAATTAATACTATTAACCTGGAGTCATTATGTCTGCTCCGAGACTCCTCAGACACTGTCACTGGAAAGATGCACCTCCTTCTTTCTCTCATGTTCTCCAGCATGGCTCAGACTGTGATACCAGGTGGAATGGATCATATCCAAGAGCTGTTGTGGACCTAAAACAATCCCAACCCAATCCTTTAGTGTTCTATGCACATCATTTGAAACAATAGAGTTTATATATTACTCTTCAATGCAAGGTTTATACAGCTGTATGGCATGGATACCTGGGCAATTAATCGGCAAGGTTATTGTCTTTTGCCAAGATTTTGTAGCATCTCAGAATCAAGAGACTTGCCTTCTGTGTCTTCATCTTTCTATAATTGGAGGTCTTTTTATGTTTGGATTTTCCAACAGTAAAGTCATACTTCGTAGTCTGCAATTACTCGGAAGATAAACATGTTTTCATCCCAAACTACAACTAGTGTTTTTTTCATTATTAGCCTTTCTGTTCCACATCAGATAAATTGCAACTGGCATATGAAATAATGTTTTGCTCACTGTTTCTATCTTAAGATTGTTCCTAACCCAATGGAGCTGGTAGCTACTAAAATTACAGTGTTTGTTCTTGTGGTACATAGTAGCAGGTTCATTCAAGTAAAGTTTTATGTTCTGAAATGTTGTCGCACATCCTTCAGTGCAATGACTATAATCATGTCTTGCTTAGTCAAGTTTCTCAAGGGTGGATTTAGAATGGAATAGTTCTTAATAGTTTTTTGCACAGTAATCTGCCATCCCCAAAACAGTAGCAGTTAGGTCTTCCTGAATCTTTAATTGCTTGTATTTTCATAGAACAAATTCCTCCCTCACAGGAGAAAACACATCTGTAACTTCTTTGTCTCAAAAAGCAACAGAGAGTCCTGTGGCACCTTTAAGATTAACAGATGTATTAGAGCATAAGCTTTAATGGGTGAATACCCACTTCGTCAGACACTTTCTTTCTCTCAATTATTTGTCCTTGTTTACCATTAGGTTAAACTCTCAGGATTCTGTTGGTCTCTTCTTGCTTTTTGTTTGTTTGGTTTTTGTTCTCCAGATGCAAAAAAAAAAAGTGTCATTAAGCGAAATGCTTTCACTACAATATATATTGGCTGTCTGATGCTATCTTAGACAATATGTGCTAGGAAAGATTCTAAATGATAATCTCATATCTTCTTAGTCCAAATGAGCTGAGAAGGCAGTTACTAATCTGTAATTATTTTAGCTATAACTGACAAACTTTTTAAAGTTCTAATTTAGAAAACATTTAGCTCTATTTACCTTACCTAGGTCATCATCCATCATGTGAGTTAACTACCAAACACACTGTTGAAATCAATTAAGATGCATCCTCTGATGTCAGTGGTGAACGCGATCCTAGCTGTAGTTCCTTTCTGGCTTCACTTAACTGTCTCATGTCCACATATCTTATGTGACTTAGGGATAACTCATGCAGTTCACAAGGTGGATCTTGATATCATTTCTATAATGTCTTGAACTTTAAGTTTGGGTATTTTCCAGTTTAGTTGTGGCTCTCACATGGAATTGAATTCTCCTGTCCTTTTTATGATACTGGAAGTGCTGCTTTATCTACTGTTTGTGCAATTTCATAGTCACACTTTCTATTCTTACCAATTCTATTTTTGTAACAATGCTTCAGCATCAGTTGTTGGTGTTTCTCTCTCTCTCTCTCTCTCTCTCCTGATGCCTTTGTCCTCATCTATTTGTGCCTCTGCAGTTGAGGTGTAATTGATATACTGTCTCATACTATAATAAGTAACCACAAGTTTGTCTGGCAATATGAAATGGTAAATGTTTTATTTTTTCTTGAAATGTATGTCAAAACTCTTCATATGCAACTCTCGTGAGAGACTTACAATTTCAGCCTCCCTAACGCGATACTGCGGCCTTTATGCACTATCTAGTTACACAGTGCATCAAAGAGCATGAGATTCAGGTGAGTCAAATTCTGGACAAGATTTCAAAAGTGCATAAGGAGACTTAGGTGCACCAATCACATTCACTTTCAATGGGGTTTATGCTCCTAAATCCCTTAGGGATTTTGAAAACTTTACCCTCTCTTTTTCCTGACAAGCCATGTAAAGTGCCCATTGGTTATATGTTGTACATTCAACTACTTTGGAAACTCATGCAGTGGATACACAGGAGGCCATGTCAGAAAAGGAATTAATGTTTTAAGCTCCTAATTGTTCACATTTTTGTTTAAATCATTCTTCCATCTCTGGACGGAATGGCTTCTCTTGCATACATTGCACAAAGAACGTTCAAAATGACTAATAAGATTCATTAATTAGAGTAGCCTAAGAAGCTGCTAAAATCTTTCTTCAATGCAAGTCGGGACTGCGAAACCTATAGCACCGGGGTCCCTGTGAATGGGTATTGTCCTCACCCTGCCCAATACAACTTAACACACACAGGGTTATTCAAGATTTAGAATTAATAGGACTCACCTGCTCTGGAGAATTAGCAGAAATAATCTCATTTCCATTGCAAGGTCCCAGGAACTACTATAAAGGAGAGTTAGGATAAATCTCTATTTCTCTTTCTAGGGTCTTAGAACCTGTCAGTGTCCAAAGTAAATGCCCTTCTTGTGAGATTTTCAGTGCTGCTGCTTCTGTAATTCACAAGCAGCAGGAGTTTTTTGAATGAGGGTTAGTAAAATGTTTTAATATTCACACATACAGCCAATGAGAAATCAAGAAAAATAACAGAACTTCAATAATAATAAATAATAATAATAGACTCATACACTTTAAAGTCATAAGGGACCATTATGATCTTCTAGTCTGACCTCCTGCATAACACAGGCCACAGAATCTCACCCACCCACTGCTGTAACAAACCCCTGATCTATGTCTGAGCTATTGAAGTCCTCAACTTGTGGTTTAAAGACTTCAAGGTGCAGAAAATCCTCCAGCAAGTGACTCGTGCCCCATGCTGCAGAGGAAGGCGAAACCCCCCCAGGGCCTCTGCCAATCTGCCCTGGAGGAAAATTCCTTCCTGACCCCAAATATGGCGATCAGCTAAACCCTGAGCATGTGGGCAAGACTCACCAGCCAGACACCCAGGAAAGAATTTTCTGTAGTAACTCAGATCCCACCCTATCTAGTGTCCCATCACAGGCCAGTGGGCATATTTATTGCTAATAGTCAAAGATCAATTAATTGCCAAAATTAGGCTATCCCATCATACCATCCCTTCCATAAACTTATCAAGATATGTCTTTTGCCTCCACTGCTCCCCTTGGAAGGCTATTCTAGAACTTCACTCCTCGGATGGTTAGAAACCTTCATCTAATTTCAAGTCTAAACTTCTTGATGGCCAGTTTATATCCATTTGTTCTTGTGTCCACATTGGTATTGAGCTTAAATAATTCCTCTCCCTCCCTGGTATTTATCCCTCTGATATATTTACAGAGAGCAATCATATCTCCCCTCAGCCTTCTTTTGGTTAGGTTAAACAAGCCAAACTCTTTGAGAGTCCTTTCATAAGATAGGTTTTCCATTCCTCGGATCATCCTAGTAGCCCTTCTCTGTACCTGTGCCAGTTTGAATTCATCCTTCCTAAACATGGGAGACCAGAACTGCACACAATATTCTAGATGAAGTCTCACAAGTGCCTTGTATAACAGTACTAACACCTCCTTATCTCTACTGGAAATGCCTCGCCTGATGCATCCCAAGACTGCATTAGCTTTTTTCACAGCCATATCACACTGGCGGCTCATAGTCATCCTGTGATCAACCAATACTCCGAGGTCCTTCTCCTCCTCTGTTACTTCCAAGTGATGAGTCCACAGCTTATAACAAAAAATCTTGTTATTAATCCCTAAATGCATGACCTTGACTTTTCAGTATTCAATTTCATCCTATTACTATTACTCCAGTTTACAAGGTCATCCAGATTTTCCTGTAGGATATCACGGTCCCTCTCTGTATTGGCAATACCTCCTAGCTTCGTGTCATCCGCAAACGTTATTAGCACACTCCCACTTTTTGTGCCAAGGTCAGTAATAAAAAGATTAAATAAGATTGGTCCCAAAACTGATTCCTGAGGAACTCCACTAGTAACCTCCTTCCAGCCTGACAGTTCACCTTTCAGTATGACACGTTGTAGTCTCCCCTTTAACCAGTTTCTTATCCACCTTTCAATTTTCATATTGATCCCCATCTTTTCCAATTTAGCTAATAATTCCCCATTTGGAACTGTATCAAATGCCTTACTGAAATTGAGGTAAATTAGATCGACTGCATTTCCTTTGTCTAAAAAATTGGTTACCTTCTCAAAGAAGGAGATTAGGTTGGTTTGGCACGATCTACCTTTTGTAAAACCATGTTATATTTTGTCCCAATTACCATTGACCTCAATGTCCTTAACTACTTTCTCCTTCAAATTTTTTTCCAAGACCTTGCATACTACAGACTTCAAACTAACAGGCCTGTAGTTACCCGGAAAGAGATCACTTTTTCTCCTTTCTTAAAAATAGGAACTACATTTGCAATTCTCCAGTCATACAGTGCAACCCCTGAGTTTACAGATTCAATAAAAATTCTTGTGAATGGGCTTGCAATTTCACTAAAACAAGTTTATACTCTTATCTTACCAACACCAGCTCATAATTCTTTTTAGTTCCAATAAAAGTAAATTCTGCCATGCTAATTGAAGCAAAATCTTACAAAACAAGACATTTTGCAGGATTTCCTTTCCCTGTTTTACAAAGCCAAAATAATGTATCTTGAAATTTGAAGTCTGAAAATAACCAGGGGCCCACTGTCTTCTCTAGTAGTGAAGCAGGGAGCAGTAGGGAGCAGGAAGGAATTTTCCCATCAGTTGTATATATTGCACAATAACCTTTATACAATTAACAGTGGTGCTGATGAGGGTGGGAGGGGAACATATGAGAGCCCACTGTCCTGTGAACAGAGTGCCTTGTCATGTGGACCATTGATCAGCTATGTTTGATAAACTCTATGGGTCCTTTAATACTAGCCTATGTTTATCTTTCTCCCCAAAGTATGCTACACTACTTTACAAATGTTGTGTAAAAAGGAATCGTTTCACATAGCACTGAAGAGAAGCCCCCTGGGTTGGCCAGAGGCAGCTGTTTAACGGAGCATGGCAGGTGATTTAGAATTGTAAGGGAAGAGGAATACCATAACCGAATGAAACTGCAATGGGGATATAGGTAAGCAGACTGTTAATACTGTAATTTGGGAGAGATTGCAGGGCTATCACCCTTTACTGTTGCAAACAACAACAACAACCTGGTATGAGGGGTTAAAGCATTACAGATTGTCAGAACCTTGGTTTTATGTATCTCCTGAAATAAGTTACATACAGCAAATTCAGAGCAGAAACACAGCCTGTGAATATGACCCAGAGGATGCATCGTCATAAGGAAAAGAGCATATTACCACAAGTTAGCTAATGTGTGGAAACCAAAACTAGGTAAAATCCTAGTGAACATAAGCCATTTTCACACGTCAATAGGTCTAGATAAGGTCTATGGGGGAGCCTAGGATTCACCTTGACCTGCTAATCTGTGTTAGGAAAAAGCGCACCTTTCTTTTCCTAGTAAAGAGACAGATTGTCTGGTCACCTCACATGTACTTGCTAGGTCTGGAATATGGAAGTCATACTTAGAAGAACATTGCACTGGGCATCATGGCACGGCCTCTAACAGGCCCCTCTGATTTACAAGACGCACCTGTCCTCAGGACTGCACTTGTCAGCCACGACAGTGTGCTCATGAAGGTAGTCCATCAAATCAGCAGCCCCATGAACAGAATGTTCTGACTCACTTGTAAAGCATGTCATGCCATCTTAAATATTTAATGCTACTTTTGTATGTAAATGAACTGAACAATTATAGAACTGCTCCCACACACCTAACGGCAAATTCTCCAAAACAAAATTGTTTTAGTGGCTCTGCAGTTTGCATGTCAGTTTGTAAAAGACTAAAATACCTAATTGGCAAAAGAAATCAATAATTGTAAAGCATGGTGTCAGGAATAAGAAAAGATTAATTATTGGTGGTCCTTGCTTAGGGTGAATTAACAAGCCCAATGAGTGTGGTTCAAGCAATTAATAAAACAACCAGCCATAAGATTTACATTACTGTTTAAAGGCCAGTCTATTTCAATGAAGTAGTATATTCATTAGGAAAAGAAAACTTCAGGAGAAACCCATAACTGTCCCTACTCCTACATGATTATGTGAACCTTCTAAGTAGCTATAACTTATAAAGAGGAGAAAATATGTTTGGACAGTCATGGATGTGCCCTACTACTCCATGAATATTGAGTATTAATTGTTGTGTTGTCCTACTCCTGAAGACTATAGAGCATTAGAGGGAACAAACGTGCAGTGCCATTTATTTTCATCTACATATTTAATTCATAATGTATTGCAAGAGAGGAAAAATGTTAATAAATATTTGCTCCATGTGTATGTGAAAATCAGAGTGCAGTGATGTACCTGGTGAGTATATGGGCTGAATTTTCAGGTGGTGTAAACTGACACGGCTCAAGTGATTATATTGGGTAAATGCCCATTGGTGCCATGTGAGGCTATGGGCCTTGGTGTTGGAACAAAATCAAGAGATATGTCAAAATAACCTTTAACTTTGTCTACTGAACTTTGGAGGTCTATAATCACTATCAGGCTCCACCACCATCTATCCACATTAGAAAAAAATAGAAGTCAAATTGAACATATAAGTGAAATAAATGTTTCACAAGCTTTGGGTTACAATAAAAGGAACCATTTCCCAATTTCTCAGATTTCATGGACCATATGAAATATGGTTTCACTGAATTTTTGTCCATGACAAGATCTATCCTGCATCATAAAGTCAATGGGAGTTTCTCCACTGATTAGGATGGGAGATGGATTCAGGTCTATATGGCCAAATAATCAGATATGCTTCATTTAAATTATGGTATGGCAAAGTCAGAAAAATTAAAACAGTAAGTCCACTAAAAGAGGAACTCAAGTTTTACCATTTCCCCAATGAATATGGGTTGTTTGATTCTTATAGGGCAACTTTCAGGTGCAAATACCTATATGAATACTTGAAATATTCTTGCACAAGCATGTTATCCAGTCATAGAATTTGCACCTGAAAGGACCGTTAGGATAAAATGGGTTTTGTGAGTGTAAATGTTAATTTTATTGCATGCTCAGATGTTTGTATCAATCCATTGAGTATGTAGGTTTTTGACCCTGCAAAGTGCAGGCATTCATAAGTTCTTCCACAATTTTGTGTATAAAATAAGTGAAGGCTGAGAGTTAAAAATCAAGCATTAAATGTTTAAGAGAAACCCACATGAATGTTGTTGGTCTTTTGATTCCACATAACTTCATTACCCGAAATTTTGGGGAAGGTTAAAATACAATGAGGTGGAAGAACAATAAACAATATGTGCTGATGTTCCTACTTTAGCAACATGACTGTATTGTAATGAAGATATCTCAAGCTATATTCAGTTGCATCTTTTTGGCATTATCTTGTGACATTCTGTGAGAATCTAAATTAGACTGTATGAATTAGATTTCTCAGAGTAGGTTGAATATTTTTTAAAATCTGTACATGCAGAGATAGAGAGCTAAAGC